CCAAAGGCGCACGTATTTTTACATAGGCTTCAGCAATCTGCCTTGGAGCTTCCAATATTCATGTTTCTGCACTATTTGTGCTTTGTATAATTTCATTATATCTATATATATATGTATATATATGTGTTTTTTAACAGATCTTGGAATTTGTAATTCTGCTAGGATTTCTAAAAAAATCCTTCCAGAAAAACTTCCATTGAACTTGACTGGAATAGGAGAGGTGGTGCCCACTTTTCCTTTTCTTGGAGCTCCATCTCAGTCCAACAGCAATGCTGTCCATGTAATCTTGGCATCACATTTCACACCAACCTCATGATGAACTGAATTTTCATTAGAACTGACTGTGAATTTTCAGATGAAACAACTTCTCATTGGAATACAACAGCTTGTTCAAACAGAATGTTTTGGGCTTTGACAACCTCCCAGCTCAACACAGACAGGGATGTCTTATAAAACTGCTTGTGGGGCTCTTAAATCAACATTCTTTGACAAGGGGGTGATGGACTTCTCAAGTTCACTGTGACACCTGAGGAGCTGCTTTCTCCCAATTTGAACAGAAACAGAAATAAGAAAGAGTTGTTTTTCTGAAGCCAATGTTTCTGAATTTCCTTTCCATTTCCAATTAAATTTTTTACATCTCACCCCACACCCAAACATCCCAACAAAGGTCTTCTGGCAACACAGAAATGTTAAATACCACCTTCTCTGGCCTGGTTACTGAGCATAGTAAAGAGGCTACAAGGAGGAGATGGGAAGCACTGAGAAAAGTGATGCAGCAGCAGGCTCTAGAGCCTTCACACAGATTTACCTGGCTGCTGAAGCACTGGACTGACTTGAGAGCTTTTTCCATCTAGGTCCAGCCCAGCTTTCACTTTGGGTTTTATTGCAGGAAAAAGCTATCCAATGCCAGTCACTTGTGGCAGTACTTAGCATTACCCACCAGCTCACAAGAATGCTCTAGAGCATCCAAAATTTGGATGGGAAATCCCACATAAATTACCTTAATGCAGTAAACTCCAAAAGCAAAGGGCACATCCTAATGCAGAACCTGTCCCATCTCTCCACAAATAATGACACAAAATGCTGAAAAATCTTCCTACACCTTAGAAAAATAAGGAGGAATGGGGAAATGTAAATAATAATATTATGGAAAGGAAATGCAAAACATAAGAGGGTTGGGGAGCTGTGTCCCTTATTTTTACACAATTATTTTCACCTTCTCACAAACATAAGTATACATTCACTACCTTTGTATGGCACTTCAGCCCCTACTAATCATCAAATATTCATTAAGTGTTTCTGAATTTAGAAGCAACTTCCTCAAGGTTTATGTGTTCCCTCTAAGAGCTCCACACCCATTCAGTCAAGGCAGAGGCTGGACCACATGCTAGAACATAACATGGTGTACCTCATAAAATGCACTGCACCTTCTGAAAACCAGGTAGCCCTTGGCCTCAATCCTGCCTGCTGTGCACTGTGTGCAGCCATTAAATAAAGCCCCCAGCATTTTACTGAGCTTGGACAATCACACTGGACAAGATAACAGGATCAATGTGGGAGATGAGGGTAAAGACCAAACACTCTGGAGATGTCCTGGCGAAGATGAGTAAACAACAGGCCTCCGTAGAGAAGGGGGATAGAAAACTCAAATCACACTGAAATTTACCAAAGCTTAAAGCTGCTTACAATAATGGCTAAGGGTGAACGATTCGTTTCAAACCAGGCCAAATTGAGGAAAAGAACCTTGATGCACACACCAATTTTGTTTCTCAAAGTCAAGAATTGTCTAATCAATAGTAGTGCTAAAAGGAGATGGGCGCTCTCAGGGGTACCATTACAAAGAATTGCACTGGATTTTAGCCACCTGGCTCCCAATTGCTTTAATAGCCATCACATGGCTAAAACCCAGGCTAAAGCTTTAAAAGTTTACCCCTTGGTCTTCCTGAGCATCCACTGCTGTCGGCAAATGCAGAGCAGCAGTAGGGACTGCAGGATTTACTCCTGCATTGACCAGAACTAGAACATGGCCAAGAATTTGCACTGCTGCTACTGCAAGCATCACTTAATGGGTGAGGAAAGGCAAAGCAGGAGAGGGTAAAAGGGGTGAGTGAAAGAGAAAGAAAGTGTACTTAACCCTTCCACTGTTGATGTGTTGATAGCAGCCTGCAGCAGGTACTCACATCACTGGCCTAATCCAATCAGCCCCCCTCTTCCATTAGCTAAAAAGAAACTGGCACTTTTTAGGTAATGCTCTGACTGCTCCCCCCACTCCAAACTGTGCTCCAAATCTTAATGGAAAACCTTCAAGGAGTTGAAGGTTTTAAATCAAATAAAGAAGCAGACACAAGGAGAAAAATCCAATCAGAGCAGAAAGGGTTGGATTAGCCAGGAACTGTTTTTCTCCAATTGTCACCAGCGCTGAACTTCACAGGAGCAGTAGCTGGAAAGACAGAAGGAGGCAGACAAAAGAGAAGAGGAAGGAGGCGTTTCTCTCATGCTCCTATTAGACATAATTTTACAGAAGGAAAGGTGTTGTCATGTCAACAACATCAGGGCTTGACTTGGTTCCTGGGCCTGCTCATGTTCCCCTATGGGATGGTGAGCACCCCAACTCCTTTCTCAGACAGCTTCCACAGCTCCAGAGCCTTCCAGGCAAGAGGAGGGAAATTGGCATTGGCAGCTGCCCCCTCTCAAGAGGTCACTTTATGGTGAGATTCTCATAGAACATATAAATAACCAGCAAGACCCACCAGCTTTTGAAAGGAAGTGGGGTAATACTCAGTGCATCACAACTTGAGCTGGAAGGGACCTTAAAGGTCACTAGACCAGGTTGGGCACCTCCAGTGTTGGGACATCCACAGCTTCTCTGGGCAAATTGTTCCAGTGCTTCACTGCTTCGATAGTAAAGAATTTCTTCCTAACATCTAACCTAGACCTAATCCCTTCCAGTTTGAAGCCATTCCCCCTTGTCCTATTACTCCCTGCCACTGGGAAAAATCCCTTTTCACCCTTCTTGTAAGAGCTTATTTAAATATTGGAAGGATGGTATAATGTCTCCCAAAATATTGTTATGGAGAACAACAAATCAAAATGTTACTACATTGAAGTTGTTGGGCAAAGGCAATAGAGAAAATAAGTAAATGAAGGAACATAAAAAACCAAAGTAACCGAAAATACCTCCAAAAGCTGAGTTTGTAACTTAGGATGAGTGAAAAAAAAGAATAATAAAAAAAGGATTTGTGTTCTATCAACACTCCTGCTACCCATTTAGAAGACTAAACATCGAAAGTTTAGAAGGCTAGTGGTTAGATGCTGGTTAGGAGAGAAGAAAGGGAATGACCAAGTATTTCCCAAAATACTAGATAACTGTTATGGGCATCCAAAAACTAGGATTTATATATATGTGTATATATATATATATATATATATATATATATATATACACAAGTTTGAATATACTTTGTAGTATGGTCCTGTTTTATTGACACCTACATATATTATACGTACTTTTGAATAATTGTTTTGGGAAAAAAAAAAACAAACCAAATATAATGTCCTGAGCCAAAGCAAACACTGGAAGAAACCAAGAGCACTGGGATTTCTATTGAAATAAAGGACAGAAATCTTGTAGGGTATTGTTACTTGCAGGTCTGATCCAGAACCCATTAATTTGATAAGTTTTGAATCCAGCTACAAGAGTAGGGTGAGGAGCCCAAGATCATTGGTCAGTACTACTGTTACACTGGATTTTGCAGTATCTCTCTTCATAGACATTAGGGCCAAACCACATCAGTTCCCCTTAGCTGAGCTGGATTGGCATTTTGGAAATCCTAGTGCACAGGAAATGTTTAAATCTTCACATTTGAGGGGTAAGAGCAGCATAGAGCTCAGCAACTGGCTAAATATGGCTCAAGAAAAATGAAGGTAGTAAAACTGGCAGGAAGAGAAAAAACAATGTGTTTCAACAATAAAATGAAAAGAAAGATGAAGCAGGAAAAAAGGTACAGCAAGGAAGGGAGAATAGGAAAGACTATGGGAAACTGGAGAGGGTGGGAACTAAATTAATCAAAACCAAGAAAGAACTGGAGAAATGGAGACATGAGAAACACAGGAGAGCACTTGAACTCACAAAGTAAAAAACAAGGAAGAGGCATATTGGAGGCAACAGAAGAAATAGTGAGGCAATGAGAGAAAGAAAAGGAAGGGGAAAAAGTGTGAAAAGCTGAAAATGGCAAGATGTAGGAGAGAAAATGGGAGAGAGGAAAAGGGAGGGAAAGAGAAGGAATTGTACAGGCAAAGGACCAGAAAGAGGAGAACAATCCTAGGGAGCCTGCTGTGGTAGGTCGCAGAGGAGTTCACAAGCCCATGCACTCCAACTATTTCTTTTTGATTCTGTGTCATTGTCAGGCTTCAGACTGCAGCTGCAAATTGTTTGTCTGGCAGTTCTGGTAGGTTTGATTCAATAACTCCTGTAAGAGGACAGGCAGGATATCAATGCTGCTTTATTGCCTTTTTCTCTGCCTACAATAGCAATCCTCCAGTTATACAGTATTATAAAGTGCCATCACTGGGGGTTGTATCTCAGCATAGTCACATCTCATCTTCCTGGGCTATAATAAGCTGGGAAAGGTAGAAGTCTGAAACTACATGAGCTTTGTGAAAGGATTAACATTGAGGCCTAAAGATTGGCACTGAGCAAACAGAACCTCACCTCCCAAGGACCACAAGGGGAGCTGGGGACATCCTGCTGGATCAGCTCCACCAAAATTCACTTGGCAACCTGAGTCAAGCCTCATTCCAGCCACTGGTGGACAAAGCATTGACACTCCAGAAAGCTGTAACCACAGCTGGGGAACAGAGAAAATAACGTGTGGTCCTGGCAGTTGGGTGACTTTTCATACCTCTCTTGACATCCTTCAGATATGAGCTTTTTAAAAACAGCCATGCAGCGACATTTAATATCAAATTGGATTGACAGATATTGGACTGACTGACCATTTTTCCTCCTGGAAGTTCCTTCCTTCAGGCCGGGGGGGAGGGGGGTGGGGGGGTGGTGTACCTCTGCAGTCCGACACAGAGAAATTTCTCCAGCCTTGAGTGTTCATGACCTGTCAATGAAAAGAGGCTTTCAGTTACACAATGTCATCACATAGTACCTTTTACAAACACTAAATTCAGGTTAAAAATGTCACAGCAAAACAGGAAAACCTTCACACAGAAAACTGCCTGTGAGGCATTTTATTTGTATGTCTTAAAAAAAACCCAAAAAATACCCAGAAAAATTCCTGACACATTGTTCTGGTTAAAGCCACACAAATCAGAACACAATTTCTCATTCAGGCCTGGTCATTACAAATATTGGGAGAACCGGAAAGAAAGAGACCAATTTTAATCTGCTTAAACTTTGCCTCTCATATGCACACATACAGAAACCCCTGTTTCACTATAAAAATCATAGATGGATGTTTTTAAGATTGGGTCTAAAAATCATTGTGATTTTACACTGCAGTTTATTCCATATATTTCCATCCTTTTGAGTCACACTGTTCAGCCTCCTACTTATTCTTAATAGATTAATTTGCAGTTGCTCCCTCGACATTTCAGCCTTTCATGGTGGAGAGCAATTCCTCTCATTTCACTCATCAAGGCTCCATATAATAATGAAAGTTCCCATAGGTCACCTCTGTCATGCCTTATTTCCTTAACCCCTTTAGCCTTCCACCCTGATAAGCGTTCTTAAACCTAGAGATGTCTGCATTAGGGAAAAAATAAAATTTCTCCCACAAGTGATTCTATACCACACCAGTTTTATAGAAAATGTGACTATAACCATGTGATTTCAATTCTCCAACTCCTTTACATTGTCATTTTGGTTTTTTCCAAGCAGTTATACTCACAAAACCGCTGAGATTCTTCTCTAATAACCCCGGGTCTCTTTTTTCCCTGGTACACTGGATAATAAGAATTCTGCTGTGGTTCACTAGCTCTAGACCTACTGTTATAGCCACTAAAAGATTCAAATCATCCTCATTTGGGTGAGAATTGCTTTTCACTTGTTTGCTTAATCTTTGCATTAGGAAGAATAATCAATGACTGCTATTTCAGTTGTTATAATATTTCAGAATAAAGCTGATAGGTAAGATTCTGAGCTGCTATACATTGGCATGTCCTAACATCACTTCAGTGGTCCAGCCTTGCACACTAAGTAGATGCTTCAAAAAAACCTGGAGGGCACACTGCTAGTTTGAATCTTCCAGTTTCTCCTTATGGCTCCAGTGTCTATTTTCCAAGCTGTGGCCCTGCTCTGTGATTTACATGGATGTAGGGGAAAGTTGTGACACAGCCTTTGCAGGCAAACAAGCAGGCTCTGGGTGCAAGTGAGAAAGTAGCAGCAAGTGTCCAAAAGTAGCCCTGTCCTCCCAAGAAATCCACATTAAACCAACAAACCATGGCATTTATTTAAAGAATGATTTTACACTGCATCATTTTCCAAGTTGTCTCTTCTTTTGTGCAATCTGTCTGTTCCATGGGAGACAAAATATTTCTGACCAGCAACGTGTTGCTAAATAAAACAGCTGCCATTCCCACACACAGCTTTGAGGGCTGTGCATCCTTATGGGGAGCATACAACAGTCAACTCAAAGCAATTCAGTGCTGATTGGGTTGGGGATAATTTTCTGGCAACTAAGGATGAGATTGAGACCACAAGATCATTTCAAATAACTGCTGAGGAGTCACAGGATAGCAACACCTTCCAGTCTCCAGAGACCTGGAATTGATTTGAACTGGTCTACCACTTAAATGGAGAAAAGCTATTATCCCATCACTAATCTCTTGAGCCATTCAGTCCCACTTGAAGCAATTTTTTTCTTCAATAAGCTATTTTACATATTTCACTTAGTCTACAATCTACGGGAGAAGCTTATCACATGATTTGTTTGAAAAGATAAATACCTCTCCCCTTCCCATTTCTGTTAATTCTGGGGTTTGTTGCTAACATGACAGAACTATTAAACATGTTCCTCCTCTTCTCTCCTTATGGAGCCCTGCTTTTCTTCCTACCATTCCCAAAATACGACAACCTCTTGTTAGTTTTTGGAAGAAGACCCAGCCAGAAGCATGTGTTCTAGGTTTTTTCCCACATAAATGTAAATATACTGCCCTCAGCCATCATTGCAGCCATCAGTACAATGCTGATACCCATGCCATACTCAAGAAGGGTAAAATCCAGGATTTGAAGTGCAAAACCAGAGAATTACTAAAGATGCATTTTGCAAAAGCAATCTTAATTTTTTTTTTTTTTGTGCAATCACGGGCAAAAGGTGGATGCAGTGCCCACAAGTAAGCAAAGATGCTGTAGTTATTAAGAATGTCTTAAAAATTAGATCTTTGGTGCCTGAAATCAGGGGGCCAGAGCTGCAGTTTGGCAGTAGGGCCACACTGGCCCAGCAGGAGAATTCTTTGTGATGAGAAATCAACCACACGCTCACGTTCAAATCTCTCAGTTTCTCCCCCTGTTTTCCCACTATTTTGTGCACTCAGAGGAGCCTGTTTTGTCTACTCCATGCCTTCTCTTCATCAAGCATTTCCTCTGTAGTTTCTCCCAGCACCAAATTTGCTCAGCCCTCCTCCATCACTCCCAGAATTAGACTCTGTGCCTTTGAAAAGCCTGGGCTTCCTTCCTTTCCAGGCAGTTCCTTTCAGCTCCTGCTCACCCCACAGGTTACACTGCTGGAGCAGCACTGCTTTGATACTGCTCCTCTGGCAGCAATTAGAATCAAATCAGCACCAGGCTGTTTATAAAAAGGGATGTTGCTGTAATGACACTATCAATTCTTCCAAACATTGTAGCTATTTATCAAGTGATTAAAGTAGAGTAACTTACTCCAGGTTTACTAGGCTATTTTCCATTGGAACTTAAAAGGTTTTACTGCCTCAAGTATGCCACTTGGACTGCTAATAATTTCAATTTTATTACATTATCATATTTTTTAGATTTATTTCTAGGTTTTGCATAAGATTCAAATTGTTACCCAGTTTATAAAATAATGTGAATTTATCTTGGTCAAAAATCACATTAGGATAATTATCTTGCCCTTTTGGCAGATAATTTTGTTTGTAATATATTGAAAATGCTTATTTTTTGTCTTCCTAGCCCCTCATTCTTGCAGAAGAGGCTATTTTTTTTCCTGAAACAGCCAACTCCATCTCCCTCTCACTGTCAAGAGCTGTCAGGTCTCCTCCCATTTTCCCCTCTCTATTAGGGGGAAACCAAACAAAAGGTGCCTGCTCCTGTCTTCACCTCCCCAAAGCAGCAGCATGCATCTACCACTGTAACCTGACAAATTAAAGACAATTTAGTCAGACAATTAATACTTGCTAAAACTCCCAAATTATCAGGAAGATGACACTTGTCAAGTATCAGAAGAAAGGTGGATCAACTAAGGATGGATTAAGCAAATCACACCTGACCCTCTGGCCAGGGTCTCTGACCCTGGAATGTCTGAAAACCACCCATGATCTCCATCATCAGCACTTTGATTAATCAAAATTAGATTTATCAATTTAGAGGACATTTTAATACTTAAAAAGCACAAATTCACACTTAGATGAAACATCTACAATTTTTGGGTTAGGTTCAGGATTTTGGTTTGGGTTTTTTTTTTGGGGGGGGTGTGTTAGGTATTTTTCGTGAAAAATACTCAGAATAGTACTTATTTAGGAGAAAAAATCAACTTTGGGAAATACTAAGTCTCAAATTTTATTTAGAATGCATGGGTTTTCCTTTGTCCCTATGCAGCATTACTATAAAATAAGATTTTATACTGACATGTTTTTAATTGATGTAAGAATTAGTAAAATAAAATAGTTCCTTCTACTTTATTAAGGATAAATGCTGTTTAGTACTGATGGAAACAACTCTTTTACAAAATAAAATACATGGCATTCTGATATAGAAAAGATAGCAATATTCTAAGTACTGAATAAGTTAAAGGAAGATTTTTCAATACTTCTAATATGCTTTATTCTATTATTCTAATTCTAAAATTCAGTGATTCAAGTTCTATCAAGCACTCATGACAGAAGTACCAATAAACAGATACTGGGTAATATTCAAAAGGTTTTGAGATATGATGTTGAAATATGAGCCCTTTTTTGAGCAAAATATATTATGCAGCCTAGGAGCTTTACAAAAGCAATTCTCTCCTAGTGTTTTTTGCTACTTCTTGTTTAAGAGCCCAGGAAGCTACAGGGTGTACCCCATCTTTTTTAGGCTTTAATGTAGGCAGAGAAAAAGAAACAATCCAAAATTGAACACCTAATTCCCAAAACAGAGCTAAAACAAATTTTGCTTAAAACATTTGGTCTGCCCTCCAGTTTGGTATTAAAGTGTAGATCAGTTTACACATTTGTGTTATTTCTGATGACAATACTTGGGAAGGTATATAGCCGGAAAAATCATGCATTTCTGGGAAGGAAACATCTACCTTTGTCCTTCACTGTTGCTCAGAAGTCAGGCAACATTAAATCCCCATTGTGCCACTGTCCATGGCCAGGGAGACAACACGGGGACAGCACAGCCACTGCAGCAGCCAGGTACCAGGAAAGCAGCTCAGGCTCCCTGCAGTGAGAGCAGGTTCAGTTCTGTGTGTTTCACTGGAGCCACAGGGAGATTGCACCAACAATTTGTACAAATCACAATCCAGACGAGTTGGTAAAGAAAGTTTGAGTGCTTTGCATACTCTGTATCTCTGAACATCTTTTCTCTTGTAATGACAAGTGAAGCTAACGATCATAAATATGGAGTGTATTACCCTGTCCTTTAACTCCCTCCTTATTGCTTTTGCAACATAATACATGCATCTCAAATAAATTAAACATGTGACATATAAATTCAGTTCATGATTTTTGGGGGTTTTCAAAATCCTGAGAAACGAAAATGCTGAATATCACTTGTCAAAACGTTCTGGGATGAAGTAGTTAAGCTGTCATCAACAGCTTAAACACTGTTTATTTGAATATGTAAAGCAACTTTTTGAAAGAAAAAAACAAAACAAAAAACAAAAGTACAGAGTCTGTTGATCAGAGTTCTTTCTCCACATGCCTT